CTTATTTATTGATATCTGAAAGCGCATCGGCCAATGGCACCCAATCAAACTCGCCCATCGGCCAATGGCACCCAATCAAACTCGCCCATCGGCAAACAATTAAACTCAGCCAATGGCACCCAATCAAACTCGCCCATCGGCCAATGGCACCCAATCAAACTTGCCCATCGGCCAATGTCACCCAATCAAACTTGCCCATTGGCCAATGGCACCCAATCAAACTCGGCCATCGGCACACAATCAAACTCGGCCATCGGCACACAATTTAACTCACCCATCAGCCAATGGCACGCAATCAGGCTAGGCCATTGACCAATGGCACCCAATCAAACTTGGCCATCGACCAATGGCACCCAATCAAACTCGACCATTGACCAATGGCACCCACTCAAACTCACCCTTTGGCCAATGACACACAATTTAATTCAGCCATCAGCCAATCGCTCCCAATCAAAGTTGGCCAATGGCACCCAATCAAAGTTGGCCAATGGCACGCAATCAAACTCTTCCATACTGGAGTGGGAGGGATGAAAAACACATCCTTATTGGCTGACATGGGCAAAACAGACCAAGGACATACTTTTTTTTTTTCGCCCTGATTTGGTAAAACAAGGAAGTGACCTCATTAGCCTTCCACATTAAAGCGGACCTGCTATTTGCTACAGACAGCCATTTTGTGCAATAAGCCAACCGTATCGGTTTACAAGGATGGACATTCACACACACAAGGGGTGGAGGCCCCCTACTGAATGCTGGTTCACCCTACAAAATGGGTGTCCTCAGGTTTGGCAAATGTGACAGGTCCACTTTATCTATGCTGGGACCTCATGTGAATATCGAGCAAACCAGGCCACGAAGCACAGCCATGCAGAAAAACACACTCGTCAGACCCGTAACCCTTCCGCCATGGGATGGGCTACCGAGCTGTGCATAGCAGGCCCAATCCTGGAGGAAAGGGTTAGGATTAGACCCTCCAGGAAGCAGCACTGCCGGCTCCCATCTCCAGTGTAAGACAATTCATGCCGTACCTATCCAATGACAGGACAGGGAAGGTTCCGGAACAAGGACACCACAACAATGACACACTGACACTTGGGGGTCCCAGAACAATGACACACTGACACTTGGGGGTCCCAGAACAATGACACACTGACACTTGGGGGTCCCATTGCGGTATTTGTCTTCCATGAGGGGGCTCTGGTCAATGGAGTCATCCCCGTCCGGTTCGGGGCTGTCGCACCCGTTAAAACCTTTCTTTCTTAACGTCTGCAATCATAACCGGGAAAAAGCTCAGCTTCTGTGCGCTCCGCAACAGCGGGGAAGGGGCAACGGTCAACCACAGCCCTGGTGGGCCCTTTAAAATCCAACTCCAGCCCAAAAAATTTTCTCAAGGGTAGAACGGGGAAGGGTAACAATTTTTATTGCGGCCTTTGTTCCTAATGGCGGACCGTTCCCATGACTTCCTGTCAGGACAGGAAGTGATGAGATATCGCTCATGGACTAATCCAACTCTAGCCCAAAAAATTTTCGGCTAACAATTTTTATTGCGGCCTTTGTTCCTAATGGCGGACCGTTCCCATGACTTCCTGTCAGGACAGGAAGTGATGAGATATCGCTCATGGACTAATCCAACTCCAGCCCAAAACATTTTCTCAAGGGTAGAACGGGGAACGGTAAAACAATTTTTATTGCGGCCTTTGTTCCTAATGGCGGACCGTTTCCATGACTACTTCCTGTCAGGACAGGAAGTGATGAGAAATCGCTCATGGACTAATCCAACTCCAGCCCCAAACATTTTCTCAAGGGTAGAACGGGGAAGGGTAAAACAATTTTTATTGCGGCCTTTGTTCCTAATGGCGGACCGTTCCCATGACTTCCTGTCAGGACAGGAGGTGATGAGATATCGCTAATGGACTAGAAACGAAAATGCATTTTTTAGTAGAGCCCGGGGGGGGGGGAAAGGGGGGGGGAATGTTTTTTTTAAGCTGTTGGCGTCTTTCTGCCCGAGCGTCACTGCCCCTCCCCTTTTCTTCTACAGGGGCGTCACAGGGACAGGAAGTGAGGGCGAGACAGAAAATGTGACCCACTCAGAAACTTTGGCTGGAGTTGGGCTTTAAGTAGCCGGTTCGGTGAGTCGGCCCGCCGGACCTCACCCGTAAATAAAAACAATACATCAGAGAGGACTTACCCCCAAAAAATATTCAAAAACAAGGAAAACGGTTAAAAGGAGAGACGGGAATAAATATAATCACAGATCAATAAAATATTCAGCGTACTGTCATGGTGGAAACATGGAGGATGCCGTTGAATGCTAGATGCCTGGACACCAAGCTGGTCACTGACCCCCCCAAACAGGACTTTTCCCCCAACTTGACGTATTCCGGGTAAGAGTCTCAAACGTTTTAA